TGCCTGTTAGCTGATAGGTGTTAAATTTTAAATTTATTTTTTTAAAAAACGGTTGGACTTTATAAAGTATATAAAATTTTCAAAAAAAGGAACAATTTTGCTTTTCACTGTATTACTGAATACCTGAGGTAGTTGAGTAAAAATGCACATTTAATACCCTTGCCAACACCATTCAGCACTTCCCTTAGGTTATTCATGTTAGTGTTAGATAAAAATAAAACTGAGAACAGTTTTTCTATGCTAATGGCTTAACATGTAAGTTCCTGTGGTAATTATCGCAATCCAATTTTACCAATTGGACTTAGGAGCAATCTATTTATATTTGAGAAATTTAGTGAACATCATTAAGTCAATTTCTGACATTATGGGGGAACAGTAAGAAAAGTTAAAATATTTGTTATACTGTGAGACTACAACAAAGGGAAGTGCAGAGCTCTTCTCTTTCCCTCCCTCCCCCCTTATTTTTTTTTAAAGCTGGGTGTCATACATTTCAGAGAGCATAAAGTATACATTCTCACAGAGACAGGAGTTCAAAAGTTGCCTGGTCCTCAGAAACAACTGGCTAGGTAAAAACTTGTGCATGTGATTCTGGATAGGGGTCAGCGCCCATCTGTTGGTTAAGCAATCTGTCTTTGGTCTGGCATCTGCCTCTGTGGGGGGCTGTTTCCTGAGCCTTTACTTCCGCCGGGACTGCGGGGGTCCACTCTGCAGAGCCTTCTGCTGTTGATGCTGTTTTACCTGAGTCAGAATCTCCTGAATTTTTCTCTGGGCAACCTGCAAAAGGACAGCGCTTTGAAAATTCTACCTGATCAAAAGTAACTATAAAGCCATTTTACTCCTATTTCAACAACTTCAAATAGAAATTCGTTTGAAGATTAAAGATATGTACTAGTCCATTTGCTAGCCTCTGAATCACCTGCTAAAGGGAGATTAAAAGTGTTACATATCAAATAACTTAATATGGGGTGGGAGTATGTCCAACTTGCACTTAAGTCCCCAAGCTACAAACACCCACCTGATGTTGGACTGGCAGTTATGAACAGAGACTATTACAGGTATTACATAAATGTTCCTATTCCAACTTACACAATTTCAACTTAAGAACTTTCAGACCTATCATTTGTAATCTGAAGACTGCCATCACCCATGTGAGAACTACTTCCATTTCAGAAAGATGCAAAGAGCTTATTTTAGACCCCACTTGCCTGGCAAGCATAGAAGTGACCAGTTATTTTGACAACCACTTGGTCATTTTCATCAGGTGTCTGGTCACGAGGGACAACAACTTCTGCACTTGATAAATTCTGGAGCTCATTCACCTGAAAGAGAAATAAAATTGCATTAAGTTAAATTTTCAAACTACCATTTCCTGAGTATTTAATGGTATGCGTTATTAATATTATAACTATTTCAAAATTAAGGCTCATTCACAGAAATTGAATTACCCCCTGGTCTGCCCAGTTACACACACACGGCAGAACGAGATTCAAATCCTGAAAGTCTGATGCCAAGTGTATGCGCTTAATCACTTCAAATTGTAAATAGCTTTAAAACAACTTAGAAGCTGCAGGTATTAGAGACTAGAAACTGTTTGGTTTTTGTCCAGTTAACAGAAAGAGATGCATTACTTTGACTAGTAGCTGACATCAATCAATACTCAGGATACAAAAAGCAGTCTTCTCCAAACCTTGGTGAAGATGGTCCTGCTTTTTATAAATTAGCCAAAATTCAGGGACTTGGAACTCCTAAGTACCTTTCAACGCTTTCCCTTTCATACCACTGCACAGGTTTTGCTGAAGTACTTGCCGTTTTGCCTCCTTTTCCAATAACTCTGCCAGCAGCAAAGGATGGCACTCTGATATGAGCTTCAAGTTTCACTTCTTCTTTAGGACTAACAAAGTTTTCTTCTTTAATTTTTCCATAAATTCTTCCCTGAGCCTACAGATGAGAACATCAGTGTCAATCATGTATGAAACACAATAGGTTACTGAACTTTAAAAATGGCTCAATCCATCCTTACTAGCCCTCTGTAGTGCTACATCTACATTTCATAAAGTACATTTCATAAACTGCATAAGACCTACTGCATATAACTATGTTATATATAAGAAACATCTATTACGTACAACCATTAGTTTGCTCTGGCGTATACCAAAGGAGTCTCATTCTGTTTCCCCAGGCTACAGTGCCATGGCACCAGCCTGGCCCACAGCAATTTCAAACTTCTGGGTTCAAGAGATCCTATTGCCTCAGCCTCCCCAGTAGCTGGGACAAACAGCATCCACCACCATGACTGGTTAATTTTTTCTATTTTTAGCAGAGCTGGGTTTCATGCTTGCTCCGGCCTCCTACCTCAGCTTCCCAGAGTGCTAAGATTACAGGCATGAGCCACTGTGTCCAGCTCAAAATTTATCAGAACACAATCAAAAGGACTCTAAGGATATACACACTACCCTCCCAAACAGAAGCTCTTGAACTCATATGAAAAATTAATGGTTAGGAAGTTTACTATTCCTTATATCTTTAACATAAAACATTCTTATCAGATCACATAAATGAGATTTAATCATTATAGCTTCTCTTAAATGTTTTAAGATAATTGTGAGATAGGCATTAGAGAATATAGGGAAACAATTCTGAATTTTCCATCATGCAAACATCACAGGAGTTGAAAGTTATTCTAGTTATAAGAGGAGATGCTCAGCACTAAAGAGAAACATGGAATAATTCATGTTTGTATTTATTTTTATGATTACAAACTAAAAACGAATGACTCTGAAGGTTCAGGACAGGAAGTACTTTACAATATTGAGAGTTACAATTTAAACTGCTTGGACCGCAAAGCTGCCATCAGGGAATAACTTTCTTCACTTGGTTGTGAGCCTAGCCAGCTGCACCCACATCTCAAAGCACCTCCTTTGTTTCAATTCTTCCTATAAATGAAGTAAAAGTAACTTGGCATTTTTAGTGGAGAAAAAAAAAATGGTCCAAAGAAAAGAGATAAAAAAAAATGGTGGTTTTAAAAAAGGGTGTAGGTGGGCGAAAATGTAGGCACCATTAGCCACATTTTAGAGCTAAGAAAACTAAGGCTTAATAATTGTCACAGCTGCTAAATGCTAGGTAGACCCAAGATAATGGGTTTTAGTTGCTTTTTATCTAAAACAAGATACTCATACTAAATTTTATGGGAGAAATCATACACTCAAAGGAATGTATTTGTGCCAGGTATGGTTGTGCATGCCTATAGTCCCAACTATGTGAGAGGCTGAGGAAAATTGCTTGAGCCCAGGAGGTCAAGGCCAGCCTGGCCAACATGGTGAGACCCTGTCTCATGTATCTGTGGATTTGAAATGGTCTCAGTCTGATTTACCCAGAGTCTGCTGAATACCACCAGCATACTAATTTTGTGCTGCTTATGTGTTAGGCGCAATTCTAAGCACTTTATATATTGTCTAAACCTTACAACCACCCTAGGATGTAGATACTCCTATCCCTGTTTTACAGATGAGTAACTTGCCCTAGGTCACTTGGTAAATGACAGAGCTAGGATTTGAGCCAGCAGCATAGCTGCCAAGTCTCTGGTCTTCATTACTCTCCTGCACCATCTCTCAGTGTGAGGCATTCCAGCCCCAAAGACCTCAACCCCCAATAAATATGAACAGAGGTTCACACAAGGACAAATACTACAAGAGTTCTGCCTCTTCTACCCCTAGGATTACCACAATCTGTGGGCAAGGGCTAACAGTTAATCCAAGAGTAGGAAGAAAAGAGGGCTTTTAATTCAAGGTGCGGGCATCTTCAGGACAGGAGAGGGAAATGTGGGAACAAGTTTCTAAGACATACTAATAATATAGCAGGTTTAGGCTTGGCACCTGTGGTTCAAGTGGCTAAGGCGCCAGCCACATACACCTAAGGTGGTGGGTTCGAATCCAGCCCGGGCCCGCCAAACAACGATGGCTACAACCAAAAAATGGCCAGGCGTTGTGGCGGGCGCCTGTGGTCCCAGCTACTTGGGAGGCTGAGGCAGGAGACTCGCTTGAGCCCAGGAGTTGGAGGTTGCTGTGAGCTGTGATGCCATAGCACTCTACCCAGGGGGACAGCTTGAGGCTCTGTCTCAAAAAAAAAAAAAAAAAAAATGTATATATATATATATATATATGTTTATAAATTTCAGGCTTCAAGTTTCCTTCACATATGATAACAGGGCTTTGACCAAGTTCACTTTTGGGAGACAAGTTAACCCAACAAAAACCATTACACAACTCTCAAACTTAAAGACTTTGGGCTTATTTTTGAAATATAATTTTTATATGGCTCTACTCTGCTGTTAGATTTGCATTTCTTTTGTTTCTACTGAGCATTAGACAAATTTAAGGGGAGAAACCATTTTATGAAGTTCCTAAAAAGAAGTCATTATTCTTCTATCCATTTGTTAGCTATGCACACATTTCTGCATAGCTTAATACCTCTAGAGCACATACCTTGAACTGAGCCTCTGGTGGTCCAGTGATAATCACCATTCTCACTTTAGCATCTGGTGCTTCAGCTGGAGCAATCTATAACAGACCCATCAACAACAGGTTATGATACTTTCAGGTGTCAGAAGCTTTAGGCCAACCAGCTGGACATTTGCACAAACTAACTGATGTACAGAAGTAAAAGGCTTCTGAAAGGAAAATTATGGAGAAGCAGTGATTAATGTGGTTAGGGCTCCGGCTATGTCCTGTGTTCTTGCACTGTGCCTGGCTTGACTGCATGCCACAGCTCAGAGAGAGCTGGATCTGCCTCATGCTCAATGCCCATGTTCACTACAGCAGCAGGACCACAGTGGGTCCCTGGCACACTTCTATCTAGAACCCCCTGGGCTGCCTATATTTGTAACAGACACCCTAGGAAACTGCACCCTAACTTTTGAAGTTACTGTTCAACATGACATCTCTTCTGCTTTCACAGGAAAGGGCATTTTAGATTGCTGAATCTCTTTCACAGAATTTAGAAAGAACTTTTTGTGATTCCTAAGTGGGATAACTGGGTCTTCACATGCAGGTGTGAGATGTGCCTCCCTCAGACCTTGTTACAGTGGTGTCTCATTTACCTGTCTGACATGAGAACAGAAATAAAGAATTTAGAAAGAAAACTCTTGATTTCTTAAGCTGTTACATGTTTTTTGCTAAGTTCACAAATATAAGACTATAAGTAAACTCCCTCAGAGTAACATGTGAAATAGACTAACATTAATTGAGCAGGAAAAATGGTACAGAAACTGTTGAAGGAAGAGGAAGCCAACATTTCCCTAGATTCACAGTAACAAAAGATTTTGGGACCCGCTGGCAGGAGTTGTTTTTTAAAAAGTTAGATATTTGCTATGCAAGAAGCAAATTACTTCCTACTTAAAAATACTGTTATTGTATATCAGTACATAAAAACACAACAAGAAACATCCCCAAATTCCACCATTCAAGACGGTCACTGTTAAGACTTGATACAGTTACCCTAGATGTTTTCTCATGTTTCTATTAAAATATATATATATATCCATTTGTCAACATTGGTGATGGAGGGCTGCAGATTAGGGCACTCATACACTGATGTTAGGAGTATAAATTGCTATAATCTTCTCAAATGACTGAAAACACACACCCTTAGATTCACCAAATCTATTTCCTTAAACATGTCAAAAAAAAAAATGATAGCCTACAACAATTTTGCTGAAAGAATTTTATTTATCACTGCACTATACGTTAGATAAATTAGGAATAATCTAAATGTCAAATAAGTGAACACAAACGATTATGACTTGTGATACTAAATATTATATACCTAATAGTGTGTATGTATATATATAAGTTTATACGAACATAAACCTACACTCAAATATTAACAATGGTGGTAGTGGGTGGCGCCTGTGGATCAGTGGGTAGGGCACCGGCCCAATATTCCAAGGCTGGCTGGTTTGAACCTGGCCCCAGGCCAAACTGCAAAACAAAAAAATAGCCAGGCATTGTGGTGGGTGACTGTAGTCCCAGCTACTTGGGAGGTTGAGGCAAGAGAATCGCCTAAGCCTGGGAGTTGGAGGTTGCTCTGAGCTGTGACACCACAGCACTCTACTGAAGGCGACAGAGTGAGACTGTCTCAAAAAAACCCCCAAAAAACAAAAAAACAAAAAAAAAAAACTGGTGGTAGAGCTTTCAGATGTGCATGTTTCAGACTTTCTGTAAACAAAAATTTTCTACCTCATTAGAAAATCTTTCTGAGGCTCGGTGCCTGTGGCTCAAACGGCTAAGGTGTCAGCCACACACACCTGAGCTGGTAGGTTTGAATCTAGCCCGCACTGCCAAACAACAACAGCTGCAACCAAAAAATAGCCGGGTGTCAAGGCGGGCG